TCCATCGGACAAAGGGCTAATAACCAGACTCTACAAATAACTAAAACAGATTTACAGGAAAAAACAAACAAACCTATTCAAAAATGGGCGGAGGACATGAACAGACACTTTTCGAAAGAAGACATATATGAGGCCAACAAACATGAAAAAATGCTCATCATCACTGGTCATTAGAGAGATGCAAATCAAAACCACATTGAGATACCACCTCACCCCAGTTAGAATGGCAATCATTAACAAATCTGGAGGCAAAAGATGCTAGAGAGGATGTGGAGAAATAGGAATTTTACATTGTTGGTGGTAGTGTAAATTAGTTCAACCATTGTGGAAGACAGTGTGGAGATTCCTCAAGGTTCTAGAAATAGAAATTCCATTTGACCCAGCAATCCCATTAGTGGGTATATGACCAAAGGATTATAAATCATTCTATTATAAAGACGCATGAACATGTATATTTACTGTGGCACTGTTTCCAATAGCAAAGACCTGAAACAAACCCAAATGCCCATCAATGATAGAGTGGACAGGGAAAATGTGGCACATATACACCATGGAATACTATGCAGCCATAAAAATGATGCATTCGTGTCCTTTGTAGGGACTTGAATGAATCTGGAAACCATCATTCTAAGCAAACTGACACAATAACAGAAAATCAAACACCGCATGTTCTCGCTCATAGGTGGGTGTTGAACAATGAGAACACATGGATACAGGGAGGGAAGCATCACACACTGGGGTCTGTTGGTAGGGAATGGGGAGGGAGAGCAGGGGTAGGGAGGTTGGAGAGGGAAAACATGGGGAGAAATGCCAGATATAGGTGACAGGCATGCAAACCACATTGCCATGTATGTACCTATGCAAAAATCCTGCATGTTCTGCCCATGTACCCCAGAACCTAAAGTGCAATAATATGTATATATAAAGATTATACTAACAATTTTCAAGAATTAATGAAAGAAGACCAAAAGGAAATCAGAAATCAGAAGAAAAGGAGCACCCAACGTTACAGGAGCCAAGGTAAGAAAGTCTCAAGGAATGAAGATTTCTTGACTTAATAGACCATTTGTACCTAGAAAACTGGGAATAAATTCAGACTGTGAAAGTTTAAGAAACAGAGATTGGTAAGGAAGTAAATTCAAATCTTAGCCAACTGCTCTTTCAAATGTATAGCAATTTAAAAAAGAAAGAAAGATCTAGTGGTAGTTGTATTTCCCTTTTAGAAGAGGGTTAGAAGACCTGGTGTTTGACAGATCAGTGGCATGAATATAGTTAGCACTGTTATACATTTCAAAATAGCTAGAACAACTTGGGTCTTCCTAGCATGAAAAGCAGATAAATATTTGATATGATGGATGTCTCAATTATCCTGATTTGATTATATGAATGCATCAAATTATTACATCGACCCTGAAAATACTTGTATCTATATAATTAAAAAATTAAAATATAAAAACTGGAGATATTCTGCCATTATAGAAGAGGAAAACCATAATAAGAACATATTTTAGGGAAAAAAAGAAAAAATTCACGTATTTAATGGCTGAAGATGCAACAAAAAGTCAGAGGTAAGGAAAATCTGAGGAGATAGTTGATGGAAAGAAATGCAAAAGGCAAAAAGTAAAAAACTGAAGATTATGTCAGACTGTTTTCAATTTCAGTGTCATTCTAGAGTGAGAAGATGAAAATACCTAGGGGTGGTGGTGGGGCAGAGACTGTTTTTATCTCTTATGTACAGAAGTGCAGTGGTAGTAGGCAGACCAGGGATTGACTATTTAATAGTTACAAGTCATGAGAAACCTGGCTCATTCTTCACCATCCTAGTTGATGGCTACTGTCATCATGGTTCAAGGTAGCTAGTGGGTCTCTAGATACACATGTGTTGGTTACAAAGAGGAAAAGCAGAAAGGCAAAAATGGCTATTTTAGTTGCATTAAGTCCCTTTAAGCAGCCTTCCTAGAAGTATTATATAAAATTTTTGCTTTCATATATTTGGGCAGAAGTTACGTCAGCTACACCTATCTACAAAGGAGGCTGGAAAATGTAGTCTTTTATTTCCTCAGGGTAACCAGTGAGAAGTCAGGGTTCTCTTACTAAGGAAAGGAAGACATCTCTATAGGCAATTGTCATTCTCGGCCACTGACATAAGGCTCTGTGGTGAAGCCAATTATTTCTGTGTTGTGACTTTCTCTAAGAAGACTGCATATCAGGAAACCAGTGTTTTGGCCAGGGCCATGGACTGGATCAGCAGCTACTAGTGAGTGAGTATATGCAGAATATAAGCAAAAATAATTCTGAAATCCTGAAACTGAGGTCCAGACTGATGGACTATGAAAGAACAATGTATACGCAAGGAGCACAAGGAGGGTGCAGAGCTAGTTGAATAGGAAGAAAGGGTTGGAAAAGGAAATACTAAGTTGACAGAGGTAAGGCAGTTACAAATGCTCAAATTCTGAGGTGTGGCTATACTTAGCTGGAACAGAAAAATAGGTTATTACAGTTGATGTGCAGAAGCTTTGAGAACAAAGCTATAAAGGCCATTGATAAGGATGACTTCAGGAGAGCAAGGAGGAAAGGAACGTTTTAGGAGGTTAAAAACCCAGATATTCATCAAATCAGTAGTTAGTGAGGATTGATGTCAATGTATAGCTTTACCTCCAAATGAGAAGAGATTGTGAAGATACAGGAAAAGGGTAATGAGACATAAACACTATGTGGCAATACAAAACTATTTTTATACAAAAATAATTTTAAAAAACTGTGGGAATTCAGGAACCTCTTCTCCTCACATACTGGAGGTAAGTCTAAGAGACCAAGGATAGAAGAATTGCTGAGGTGAAGGTACAGACAAACTTAGGATGATACCCTCAATTTTATTAGTAAAAACAAGGTAAGGTCATGTGCAGACAGTGAAAGAAGTTAGAGAGGTGTCACCCAGTCCTGTCAGTGACCAACATCCCTGGGTTGGTGTTTGGTAGCGCTGGTAAAATTAGACAAGCTAGTCATTCATGGTGACAGAAATCATCAGAGATGCACTCAGGTAATCAGGATTTTTACTTGATTTTTTTCAGATAGTTAAAACTAAATATTTTATGTAACTCTTAAAGACTCAGGGTTACTCTAAAATGTTCAGAATTAAGTATGATGCTAACTTACAATCTGCTTATTGAGAAAAATACCTAATTGTAAAGAACAAATACAAAACTAATAGAAAAATGACTGTCATGAGAATGAAAACATTTTCTCAGGAATTTTTCTTCAATCAATTCTAATTGCAGAATTTTTCATGATATTCAACACTTATAAATTTAAAGCCAAAGGCTTCTGTATCATTTATACTTATTAAACAGAAAGACAAAGTTTGGGCAATGGTTTTTCTAAACTAAGTTCAAAAAAGCTAACAAGGGTTATTTCAAATTTCTTCATAAATATTCTTAAAATATTATTTATTAAAACGGAATTTTGGATTTTAATCAGATACAAACACTACTACACTGATAACACAGGGCTTAAAGAAAAAGTCCATTTCAGAAGCATTTTAATTTATAAAGCTACTCAAAGTGTTTTTTATGTCCAGATAAAGGCCAAACATTGGGAGGAAAAACTGTGTAAGAAGTTTATGAATTATTGACTTAATATATCTCTAAGTATTGCAGATTGCCCTCATCTAAAATAGTTATAATACTATAAGACATAATTTCCTTTAGGTGGACCAGAAAGAAGAATTTACATTAAAACATGTTATTCATATTTATTTTATTACATATATATTATTGTATACAACTTTGATAATAAGGATATTATAAATCATACTTTAAGCAAAAATCTATGCATGGCATATGTAAGCAGTAACATTTTGAAGCAAAAAAGCCATGAAAGCATTTACCTAAAATTTATTAACACTGAAAAACACTAGCTTGTGCATAGTAATGATTGAAAAATTCATAATACACTAGAATACTAGTAAGTCCTCAGGTATTGTAAGAAAAACCTGGTATAGGAAAAGACTAAATTAGACACATCCACATTCTTAGATGTGCATATCATCTAGAAATAAATCCCTCAGTGTGGCAGTGCACTAAGCATCCTTCCTTTGGCACTTATCAATACAGACAAAGATGTATTTGGTTTAATGTGGTTTTATCCTTAGATACATTTTAGTTATTTTATATAGATAAAAATATACAATATTGCTTTTAAAACTTTTAATTTTATAACTGTATAAGTGATTTATCATCATATTCACAACTAAAGAGCCTATTTTTCCACTTAACAATATGTCCAATAACTTGTGGAAGAGAGTAACAAAATTGGTTTATAGAAGACTTAAAAGGTTTAAATGTAAAAATAGAATATGAATCTAGACCACTGGTCTAAATCCTTAGATATCTCATGCTGGAAACAAATTATGAAATGTTTCAGACAAATTTTTTTCAACACAAGTTGATTATGCAGATTTAAAATTTTGACTGAAAATATTGAACTGACAGAGATTTTGTCTGAAGCCATTTTTAAAAACCATAATTTACTAAAAAAAAGTAAAATAAACGAAAATTGTATTTTAATACATCTCAGTTTGGGATTCCATCAGATTGTAAAATAAGGCATGCAAAATGTGTCTAAGCTCTTCAGCGCTCATATCTAAAGAAAAGAATAGCCGGGTGCAGTGGCTCACGCCTGTAATCCCAGAACTTTGGGAGGCCAACGCAGGAGGATCATCTGAGGCCAGGAGTTTGAGACCAGTCTGGCCAACATAGTGAAACCCCGTTTCTACTAAAAATACAAAAATTAGCTAGGCATGGTGGCACACACCTGTAATCCCAGCAACTCGGGAGTCTGAGGCAGTAGAATCACTTGAACCCAAGAGGTGGAGGTTGCAGTGAGTCGAGATTGCACCACTGCACTCCAGTCTGGGAGGCAGAGTGAGACTCTGTTTCCCTCCACCTCCACCCCCCAAAAAAAGAAGAAGAAGAAAAGAATAAAAAATGGTGGTATTTTCGCTTTTAAATCATTTCAGGACAGTAAAGTTAATAAAATGATTAATTTGCCTATTGGTAATGAAAATCATTGTATCATTAAAAACAACCTAATGTTTGTACGTAAAGGAACTATGTTAAAGCAGTTGGATTTATTACTTGATTTCTTAGAAAGACACATTGATAAAGGATGTAAAGACCCAACAAATTATTTAAGTGCATATATAAGGTATGGACTTCTTAAAACGAAAAACTGCATATATCTTACAAATAACTTTGTTCATTCTATCTATACAATGCACCATTCAATTCACTCATTACAATACTTTGCACCAAACATTGCTACCGGCAATCTTAACACTCCTCAAATATGAGAAAAACAAATAGTTTCCACTGTTCTAGGAAGCGAAATTTATAAAGTCAACACAATATATTATCAAGGATTATAGACCTAAAACAGTTTTTAAAGACAATTTATACACATTGAAATGGGTGCTTTGCTTAATAGAATTAAAAAGCTAGAAATAAAGCTTCTTGCAATTTAATAAACATGGTTGCAGTTAACAGCAGGTTTTTCATATTGCAACATTCAACTATCATCATGGAAATTTCAATAAAGATAAACAGTGGTATATTTATTTCTTCTGAAAACACTGTTGAAGAATTTAAGTGCTATTATATAATAATTAAGAAATAATTTGGAAAGACATTTTACTTTAAAATTTTTTCAACATAAGGCACATAGCAACATTTATAGTCTAGAAACAACTAAATTATGAAATAAATAATTATTTTTTCAATCATTATTTGCCCTTTACCTGAAGTAAGTAGGGGAATAGGACAGTTAAAACAGGCCAGAATAAAATGGTTGGATTTAGGAAATACAAAGAATATTTGTGCACAGAAAATAATTTAAAAAAGAAAAAGAATACTTTATATAAAATATACATCCTACAGTGTTATAGGTAGAAAAGTGTGAGGCACTTAGATTAACAGTGAAGGAGGAAAGCACTGAGATTATCTTTTTATAAAAAGCACCAAATCATTTCTTTTAACATCCAAGATAAAAGCAGAGGCTAAAATGATAGGAAAAATGAGTTTAGTTCTATAACTTTGTATTTGGAAAACTAATAAGAATCCAGAAGTTCAAAACTCAAAGTATTTTATTTTTATTCTGACAGAAATAATTCAAATAGAGAATGTTTTCTAATTTAGAAGAGTCTTCAAGTTTCCCTGAATAAGTTTTGCATATTTTGTGATGCTCAGAATAATGTGAACTGTAGATAGTATCTCACTACTCTGTGGCAGCACACTTTCTACACTAATGACTACAGTATATGTAATTTTGATATCATTTTGAAAATTCCTTTTCTAAAAACAGAAATTAAAATTTGTTTGGAAGAATTGTGAAGAGCATGCATCAATGCCTCCATGTGAACTTGCTGACGTCCAACAGTGACAGTTTTATTATTCCAATCCTTTACAAACTACTTGAATCCAAAAACCAGGGTCAAAACTGGGCTTGGAATTACAGGAATCCACTTGATGTCAAATCAGGAAAAGGTGTGGCTTCTGATGGATGATGAAGTGGCTGAAGATGTGTAGTAGTCTGAGTGTTATTTATGCTATTTAATTCAGCTGGATATGTTTCATTTAAAACTCCATTCTGAAACTGAAAACAAAAGTAGTGATGCAACTTACTGGAATCGATCTTCCAAGTATCTTAAGCCATTAAATAACATATTAACATGTATTTTTAAAATCTTACCCCTGAGACTTGTGAACTTCAAGTTCCTTTACTGCTACTAAATTTTAAATCTTTCATACAGTGAAGACATACCTGAGGACATATTATGTATTAGCTGCATTTATAACCTGTTTTTTTTTTTTTTTCATTAATTTGACAGGAAATTTTGAACATGGTACAGATGAGTGATACAGCTTCCCCATTTCAGACTGCCTTTGGATCAGACAGGAATTGATGGGTCAAAGAGCATCAGTCAGGAATTATAGTTGACCAGGTATCAAGTTATAGGTGTCAATGAATTGGTTATATTCAGAAATCTTACACTGGAATGCAAAACTTTTCCAAAAAAGGCATCTTCTGATTTTCTAAATATTCTTAAAATATTACACCACAGGTATGATTTCCTTAACCGATATCTTATTCATAATATACTTTTAATTAATGAATACTGCTGAAAGCATAGTTCTAATTACAGAATCAAGTTACCAAAAGAAAATACCCTTTCTTGTTTTCTTACACTGCAATGAATCTGGTTTCTGTAACTGCAAGTAGACAAAAAGAAGAAAAAAAAAGGAAGGACATGAAGATGCATAACTCTGTACAGTTTTATAGATTATAGAGCCTTTATATTTTAGTCAGCGTATGTTCTGGAAACATTAAAACAAATTAAAATTATAACCTTAATTGTTTCAAATAAAATCTACCTTTCTAAACCTTAGGTAACATTAGGCTTCAGTAATGAAAATATTGATTACAAATCCTCCAAAACAAATAAAATCTATAGCAAAAATCATATAACCTGATCTTCAATGAATGGCAACTCTGCAAATTTTTTAAATAAAAAATTAATAGTACTTGTTCAGATAATGGTGAGTTTTAGATGAATTTTTCTCATTACTCATAACACAACTCATGTCAGTTATTCTCTTTAAACATACTGTACAGAGCAGTGTCATCCAATAGAAATATGTGAGCCACATACAGAGCTTAAATTTTTGACTGCAGTAGATTAAATAAAATACATTACTAAAGTTAATTTTACCTGTTTCTTTTTACTTTTTTTAATGTGGCTACTGAAAAAATTAATCATTTCAGCAAGAAATCAATAATAAAAGATAAGATAGTTTACATTCCTTTTTCAAGCTAGGTCTTCAAAATCCAATGTGTGTTTAACACAGCAGATCTCAATTTGGACTAGCCACATTTCAAGTGTACAACAGCTACTCAGTGGCTCAATACTGAGTGTCTTAGCTCTGTAACATCTACTCTGGAGCATATGTAGGTCTACAGAATTATCTGGTTATTCACAAAGAAGCAATACAAAGTAGTGAGGGGAAAACACTGCAAAGAACTTATGTGGTACGAATGCAACTCCTTATTCAAAATGTAATTTTACAGAATTAACTTCTGTAAAATTTGCTTTACTCAAGAGTAAAATATACTTTCATAGCAATTTTGTGAGATTGTCTATAATTGAATATTATTCAATTTTAATAAAATTGAAGGATGTAAGGAGTAAGAAAAATCTTCACCATCCTTTTCTATTAAAAAGCTCATAAACAAAATATGACAAACAAAATGTATGAAGAATCAGACAAACATAACGTATGAAAAAAGCCAGACAGTACAATTAAGGATAAAGATTCAGGTCATACTTTTAATTATTATACTCGAATACAGAGTAAACAGGGGTCAAGGAACTTAATTTTAGTCAAAATATTCTTTAAAACTAAGCTTAAATATACTCTAAAATGAACTAAATATTTTCTAATGGAAAAGCATAAATGCAAACATGATGTATTCCTCAGTGGCCAGAGATAGCAGCTATTAACACTATGCTACCTTTTTTCATTTAAGTGATCATTTTAAGATTTAAAGTGTGGCTGAGGCGGGTGGATCACGAGGTCAAGAGATCAAGACCATCCTGGTCAACATGGTGAAACCCCGTCTCTGCTAAAAATACAAAAAATTATCTGGGCATGGTGGCGTGTGCCTGTAATCCCAGCGACTCAGGAGGCTGAGGCAGGAGAATTGCCTGAACCCAGGAGGCGGAGGTTGCGGTGAGCCGAGATCGCGCCATTGCACTCCAGCCTGGGTAACAAGAGCGAAACTCCGTCTCAATAAAAAAAAAATAAAAAAAATAAAAAAAAAAATAAAGTGTGCTCACTGCTAGAAGGATTCTGATGACACATTTAAACAACAAAAATACACTGTCAAGCTTGATTTCCGTGACAGAAAGCTAGCTGAGTTATCTCTTTTAAGAAAGCCAGAAAGGAAACAAAGTGATTCTGCCTTAAAGGATAAAATGAGGATAGGGCAGGTAATGTGGAGGAATAGCTAGAGAACATGGAGGTCTGCCTAGGACTTAATTCCAGGGATATAATCTAGGACAAAGGCATTGTAAGAAAGCACACTTACATTTGAGTCTAACTCAATTTCAAACACATAAAAAAATAGAGCCTGGAAGAAACTATTCTTAAAAATTGCAATATGTTTTTAAAGTTTGAATTTTTTAAAGCCATGTAATTTTTAAAGAATCCAGAAAGAATAAACGAAATTACCTATTTTAAACGTAATACTTTTAAAAACTAATTTCACCTGGTAATTTAGGTCATCTTACATTAAGGACACATTTACGTTGCTTTAGCCCTTGATACCTTTTCCCTCATGACTCAGGTGAGTGACATATTAGCAACATACTGGAAAAAGTACAGGCTTATGAAAAAAAGCGTAGTCACAGATATAATGAAAAATGCTGTCTCCATGAATGCTGTAGATAATAAATCAGCTGACATAAAAAATGTGTAACATGTCTATTTATAAGGTGACAAGAATCACTGAAAGATTTATTCAGTTTGATAACACCCTTACCTTGTTTAAAAATGCCTGTTGACCTGGCAGTACTGGACTGTACTGCATCTGACCCACATGGGTGTGCTGAGGTTCTGGCTGGCACTGATACATCGACACAGACCCGGCATAACATGTCTGAGGGGTTACTATGGCTGACTGTGGATTTAATCCATGGTTTTGGTTTTCAGGAACTTGTAAACAAGTGACAAATTCTTCTAAACTAGAAGTAGTGGGGTATGGGGATGGTTCAAAACTCCCCATAGGATAGTCCAGCTCTGTACATTTGGAATGTTGTGGTAATACAGGCTGATTACAGGAAATAAAGTTCTGTGTATAAGGCATAGGATCAATTTCAGATTTGTAGGGAAACTCTTGATTGATCCCATGCACATCTGAAAAGACATTATACTGTTGGAGGTCTTGCTGAGGACAACTGAAAGGCACGAATTGGTTAGAGTTCCAGTTTGCAAACATGCCATTAACTTGCATATGCTTCATTTTCTGACACAGTTGTTGCTGTGGCTCCGCTACTACTTGGTGATGCTGTTGCTGCTGTTGCTGTTCCAGCTGTAGGTGTTCCTGTACCATACAGCTTGAATTCAGGGCCAGGGACTGTTGCTGTTGGTAATCTGAAGGTACGAAGGCAGACTTATTTAAAGAATCTTGGATATATGTCAGGATTTCATCTGTTAGGTCAATGTCTCTGAAGTCAACCTCACCAGAAAAATCATTTCTGAAAAATTTTTCATTCTGCATGTGTTTGATGTCTTCAAGATCAATGCCTAGGTTTTTCATAATGCTGTATAAGTCACTGTTTTTACTATCTTGAAAGAGCCCTGGGTGACCTCCAGCAAATGAGTTTACATCCTGAGACTGGTCAATTTGCTCATGTTTCAGGATAGTATCATTTCCCATTGATGTAGTATTATCTTGCCAATTTCTGCATTCATTCATAGATTCATTAAAACAATTGTTTTCAAAAGGTGCAGCACATGAAGTACTTGAAGCAGGATAGAGATAAATAGACTCATCTTGTTGCATCATGGCAGCCAGGAGGGAACTAGGATTGAGAGACTCCTTGTTTAGAGTTGATTTGGTAGCAGAATCTTTTCCACTCGTGCCATTTTTAGTCCTTAGTGGTAAGGGATCCATTATGGCAGGAAAAGGGTTGGTTACCTCATATAATACAGCTTCTCCAGTGGTAAACATAAAAGGCAACTTCATATTTCGTTTTCGTAAATGCTCATTTCCTTCCTCATCTCTAAAATTGTGTATAAAAGAGTCTTAATAAAAATTATAAACATTTCAAAATAAATTAAAAAAAGAAAAACAAGCAAAATACATAATTGAATTCAGAAAAGGACATATTTTATTTTCACCTCAATTATTCTCATGAGTAGTGCCATAAAATTGTTTTTCAGACAAGCATATTTAAATAATTTAATTTTTAAAAAATAACTTAATTAATTCCATGGTCAGGTTATAGCCTACCTGACATCCTATAGAAAAAATAAATTTGTGTGGAATAAAGATCTACACATAAAAACAGACTACAAGAATTTAGGCGCCAGATGTGGCAGTGCATGCCTGTAATTGCAGCACTTTGGGAGGCTGATGTGTGTGATTCCTTAAGCCCAAGATTTTGAGACTCACCTGGGCAACATGGCGAGACCCCTACCTCTGCAAAATAATAAAAGTTAGCCTGACATGGTGGCACATGCCTACAGTTTCAGCTACTGGTGAAGCTGAGGCAGGAGGATTGCCTGAGCCTGGAGGTTAACCCTAACCCTAACCCTAATGAGCCACATTTGTGCCACTGCATTCTAGCCTAGGTAACAGAGTAAGATCCCTAGCTCAAAACAAAATTAAAAAATTTACGAATTAGAAATTTAAGAATCTGAAACAACTAACCTCCCTAGTAAAACCCAGAATCTATAAAGACATTATTGGCATAATTGGTAATTGAAAATTATTTAGTATTAATTAAAGTGTTTGTATTTTTGCAAGAGAATTCTTAAGGCATAAAGAAACTATTTTTAACACATATAATGTATTTATAATTTAATATATGTATAAAATTTCATATCTATAATAGGTAAAAAGCTCCAATAGAGTCTAGGAGAGAGGCAAACAACTCAAGAAAAACAGGTAAATGATAATACAAACTTGTAATTCAAAAAAAGAAAAATGTCCTAGAAAGATGTAAAAAGATGCCCTCCCTCAGCAATAAGTAAATGAAAACAACTAACATGTCTTATAACAGAAGCACACAAAATATTAACAAATGTATAGAAATATGAACACGATTAACAAACTAGACTTCTGAGATATAAAAATAACACCATACTCCCAAAAGACAGAATATGTATTCTTCACAAGATTACATGGGATATTTTACCAACACAGACCATGTGTTAGATTATAAAATAAGCCACCACAAATTTCAAAAAATCTGAAGTCCACTCAGAGAATGTTTTCTTACTACAATGGAATTAAGCTAAATGTCAATCACAAAAAGGCAACTAGAAAAATCCCCAAACATCAAAAAGTAGAGTAACACCATATTTATAAATAATTCACAAATAAAAATCAAATGAAAAGAAAATTAGCCAGTATTTTCAATTAAATAATAAAAATAAGACAGCAAAAGATGAGGGTTGTTGTTTAAGTGTTGTACTTAAAGGGAAACTGATATAATGTTTAAGTATATACATATTTTTGAAAGTTAGAAAAAATTATATATTATACCTAAAGAAAGCAGAAGGAAGAAAATAATAATGAGCAGACAAAATTAAAATGACAAACAAATGTGTAAAGTAGAAAAAAAAATCAATCAACCAAAAGTTGGATCTTAATAAAGACTAATAAAATCTAATCTAAAAAAAACTGCCTTCTAGAAACATTGATCAAAGGAGAAGAGACAAATTTGTAGAGGTACACACATACCCATGCATTCATATACTTATGTACACACATATGACTGTACTTCCATGGGTACTTACAAACATACACATTCACCATGTTCATGGGTTCAAAGACTCAGTATTAAAAAGATGTTAATTCTCCCCAAACGATCTACAGTTTCAATGTAATCCCACTAAAAATCTCAACAGATTTTTAGACAACTGCTTTCTAAAATGTATATGGAATTATAAAGGGCAAAGAAGAGTCAAGGCAATCTTGAACAACAACCAAAAAAAGGCAAAACAAATCAAATGAAGACACAGTCCGGCATCAAAATTTATAATAAAGACAAAATAAGACAGTGTAATGCTGGCACAAAATAGACAACTACATCAATTGAGCTATTAACAGGACAACAGAATCCAGAGAGAGAACAACAGACAAAATTCCCTGATTAAAATACAGTGCAGTGGGGAAAAGATGACCTTTTTAGTAAACCATCTTTTCAATGTTACTGGTCAATTGGGTACACATATAAGGGCTGCGAGGAGTCAATCTTAATCCTTACCTCAAGCCACAGACAAAAGTCAGTTCTCCAGAGCAGGAGAAAACATTCATCATACAAATATTTGACAAAAGACTCATTTGCAGCATATACAAGAAACTCTTAAGATCACTGCTGTATTTAGAGAACATATTCTAAAAAAATCATTGTTATATTTTTCTTTTGTATTACGAACGACATTAGCTTTTCACATGCTCAGGATAAAACCATAGAGTGTTCTTTTAATATTCTTTCTGTAGCTCTGCACAGGTAGGTGATCAATAAAGTTTGTCAATTGTATCTTCTCAATGTCTCTCACCTGTGCTCTTCTTACTAGACAAATTACATTAACTTTTCAATTTTTATTTCCTGACTAAATTCTGACTGAATTACTTTTATGCTTTCACATAAGAGGACTTATAAAAACAACACTGATAACAAAAACAGAAAACATTCTTTGTGCTTACGTCAGCGGTCTCTGAGTTGCAATGATATAATCCGGTCTTCCATTTTTATAAAGCAAGCGTGCATTAGACTGGACCCATGCCCATCGATTGTTTTTTGTAAGAAGTCGGAAAACTATCATGCCACTTTCTCCAGTCTTAATCACTAAAATAAAATTTAAAAATTACAATATGAAACTCCAAATCAATATATTGAAGGATATTCCTAAAAACAAAGCTCTTGTGACATAGTTCTGGATGTATTTCCTTTATTCTCAAAGATAATAAGTTTTAAACACAAAATATTATAAGGCACATAAGGAGTTTTTTGGAGTTTCTTCCCCATTTCAGACTAAATTTATTATTTTAAATGTTAAAGGAAAGATTATGCACTAGACAATTCTAGTAACACAGGAAAGTATAGAGAGAGCAGAAATTGGGGAAAAAAGATTAAAACATTTTCATTTTAAATAGGGAATGTTTTCCTACAGCCTAATACTTTATAATTTTAAAGTAGAATTATTAATACTGTTATTGTTAAAATATTAACATAGGTTTATGAATTGATAATAACTGAAGAATTCCCAAGCAAAATTTCATGGGCCACAATGGTCATTTTTCAGTAACTAAACTACAATATTTCTGGATGGCAGGTGTAGACAAGTTAATGAACAGAGTGTAACCCTGGTTAATCATAATGATAAGTTGCTAAGTAGAAGTTTATCCATATAGTTTACTTAAATGCGTTACATTACATAATTTGAAACACGTACTACAGCATATGCTGGCTTTTTTTCTGACGTGTTCATAAGGAACTACGACTTACTCCGGATATGGGACTCGGCACAATAAAGCATGTCAGCAGCATGAAGAAACTGATATCCTGATCCTCTTGTGCACAGCTCTGCTTCAGTATATCCTAAAACAATTTTTCCTCTGTTTAAAATAAAGGTAAAATAAGAATGAATTTAGATTTAATGTAAATGAAATAACCAAGATAAATTCATTGTTTTTACGCTAGTTTCTGCCAAATGTGTTAGTTACAGTTAGAATTTTACATGAGTAAGTAGATGCAAAATTAAACACATCTATGTAAACCGCTCTTCTTTGCTTATGGCTGCAAATTTCAGTTTCAGCCTACTTTTTTTTCCTGAATAAAAACATGGAAATCAGTAAGCTAAAACTGAACCTAATAGAGCAGATGTATGGATAACAGAAAATCTTTAATAACATTTGTGCCATTTAAAAATGTAAAAGAAACCAACAATAAATGTCATCAGAAGAACAAATTTTACTAATATATAAGAACATCATCATTTGAGACAAGTATTGCAAAAAATTAAAAGGATGATTTGTGAGCCTGATGAAATTATTTTACTTTAAAAGGCTATACTGAAAGAACAGCCAATCTAATAATAAACAATATTACATACAGTCTATACTGTATGTTTTACGTGCTAAGAGAGACTTACTGAAACATAGTGTACATCCAATAAAATAGAAGTGAAAAAGTCTCACTTACTTGGCATCACAACCAATAGGTGTGAAGTCTAGTTTGTGTTTAGTTCTAAAGATAAAATTTTTGGTCCGGATTTCAAGTATGGATGGTGGCTGAAGTGGACTAGCTATTGCAAACAAAGCCAATTGAGGTGGAAGTATTGATCCATCTTTCCCTTTCTTTTTTTGTCCATGAAGATACTTTAACCTCCCTTGGAAATTCATTGCCTTAAAAAGACAAAAAATTAAAAAATGTTCATTAAAATTAACAATATAAAACAGTTCCTTTTAAAAAGGCTCCATTACGGCTGCCTCTAGGGTTCTTGATAATTCCATAAATGTTCCTAAAACTGAGAATGGTTAGTTTCTTTCATTCCTCTCTCCATGGGAACCTCATTAAAACTATCCCAAAGAGTAGTATGAGAAATATTGTAAAGGGATAAGTGAAGCACTCCTTGTTTCTAACGTCATAACATGAATACCTGTATCATTTTCCGAGCTTGCCATTACCCTATCATTTTCACCTTGCACAGCTCCTTGCACACCACGCAATCAATATATCCTGAATGGTGATAAAGTCCTAAAGTAAACACTCATTTTCAAGCATACATGAACTGTATCACAGCTCATAGCATACTGCACAGTTCAGAGTAATGTTTTCTATAGAGACAAAATATAATTTTATTAAAACACTAAAATGAATCATCATGAAAACATAGAAAGAATGCAGAGCTCTACTGAGCAAAGATATAGAAGAAATTTAGAGGACAGGGAAAACGAAGGTGATTTAAACATGAACATGATATATTTATTTGGTTAAAACAGTATCAATCAGTCCAAGGGATGATTCTGACATCAAAATAATAACAGCACAGGGAGAAGAAGACCCTCTTGCAAACAGATACTGCACCTCAGACATATAGTCACATGTCACTTAACAAAAGGGGCATGTTTTGCGGAATGTCCTTAGGCAATTTCGTCATCCTGTGAACATCAGAGGGTAGGTACACAAACCTTGATGGTATAACTTACTATGCATCTAAGCTATACAGTATAGCCTATTGTTGGTAGGCTACAAACCTGTATAGCATGCTATCGTACTGAATATTTTAAGCAACTGTAACACAATGGTAAGTATTCTATCTAAACATAGAAAACATACAGTAAAAATAAAATATAAAAGACAAAAAATGGTATACCTGTACAAGAGAACTTACTGTAAATAAAGCAGGCAGGACTGAAAGTTGCTCTGGTTTAGTCAGTGAGCGAATGAGTGGAGAGTGAATGTGAAGGTCTGAGACATTACTGTACACTACTATAGAGTTTATAAACACTATACACTTAGGTTATGCTGAATTTATAAAAAAATTTTTCCTTTCAGCCAGGTGCGGTGGCTCACATCAGTAATCCCAGCACAGCTTACTGTAACTTTTTTTACTGTATAAACTTTTACTTTTTGACTCTTTTTACTTTTGACTCTTTTGTAACAACAAACACAGTGTGCAGTCATATAAAAATATTTTCTTTCTTTGTATCATTATTCTATAAGTTTTCTTCTATAAATTTTAATTTTTTACGTTTAAAACTTTTTGTTAAAAACTAAGACACAAACCCACGCATTAGCTTAGGTCTGCACAGGATGAAGATCATCAATGTTCCTATCTTCCACCTCTACATCTCATCCCACTGGAACATCTGCAAGCGCAGTGACATGCATGGAGCTGTCATCTCCTGTGATAACAATGCCTTCTTTTGTAATATTTCCTGAAGGACCTGCCTGAGCCTGTTTTACAGTTAACCTTACTCTAAAACAATGAATAAAATAATAATTAAAAGTATAATAAAGTAAATAATAAAGTAAAATAATGAATAGTAAATACATAAATACATAGTGATTTATTATTTTCAAGTATTATGTATTGTACATAATTGCATGTGCTATACTTTTTATATGACTGGCAACACAGGTTTGCTTCCATCAGCATCACCATTAACATGTGAGTAATGCTATGATGTCATTAGGTGACAGGAATTTTTTGGCTACATTATGATCTCACGGGACTACCATCACATACGTGGTCTGTCATTGACCAAAGCATCATTATGCAGCATGATACTCTACATACTAACTGTTCATGAGCATTAATACTGGGAAAATTATCTCAAAGCACAATTCTAACTATGGGTCAGCAAAATTCTCTTCAGAAATAAACACACAAACAAAAACTATTGCTTGAAAATGCTTAAGATTCGACTATCTGATTCAAATTCCTTATAATTCACAAAAAGAATACACAATATACTTTGTATTCTCTTCCAGTGTATTTGGTGACATGAGCTGTTTAAGGATACAACTGAGAGAAGAGACAAACCCAATCTGAGTAATCCTAAGCTGCTTCCTACAGTCAACTCCCATGCAGGTGTTCAGACTTTGCAACAAGAAACATCGTCTCCTATCAGATGATGACTCTATAATCGTGAATATACAATCATTTTTCTATGTGGCAGATATTTGAGACATGTGGAAAGGCCATAATTTTTCTGTCTAGCAGGCATTAAATGCCCAGATGGTAAGCATCCTGAACTAAAAAAGGGCTACATAATTCTCTGAAACCTTAAAAATCCTAAAATAGTCAAAATACAAGGCTTCATGTTATTTCACTCAATCTTTGTTACTATATCCTAAAGAATAGTTTTCTGAGTTATAGAAGATAGTCAAAATCAGAAATAATAATTATTTTAAAATGTTACCTTCCTTTATCAAATTATTTGGTAGCAAACTTTTTAAAGCTGAAATCAAAGATAACCAAAGAAAACTGGCTTCACTTAACTTTTTTTTTCCTATAGCTTAATAATGTCAAATCAAACTAAATTTAGGCTGAAGATGCCTCTGTTCCTTGAGTCCTTACCAAGGAATTGCAACTTCATTTACTATATAAACTAAGGGAAGGCCTAACAGTAGGAGTAAACTTCTGTAACCAAATAGCTGAGTTTCAATCAGTCACAGGTGGTCCACTGATCAGATCATATTCAAATAAGGCAAACCCCAAACTGTAATCAATCAAGCTATTTTTGTACCTCACTTGCATTTTCTGTCCATAAATGCTCCAGCCCATGTTTTTAAGTAAGCTCTCTGAACCTCTCTGGTTCTGAGGGCTGCCTGATTTTGGAATCGTTCTTTGCTCAATTAAATTTTTCTAAATTAAATTTGCCTCAAATTTTTATTGTAACAATAGTAAAGCCAGTATCATAAGATTTTGTACCTTACCAGAAAACCAGATGAATTATCCAGCAGACACCTTAGACGACATATGAAGCACCTCTCCATAAAAGGAGAGTTTTCTGGAGGAAGCTGGTCTGCGTTATAACAGACTACTGGCTGGGGGAGACCAGGAGCTTCTGTTGAAATAAAGGCAAAACAAAAATTACTTTCCATTTTGCTGTAAAATTAAGCATTTGAATAGGTAAAATTTGTGTTAATTTCTAAACTGGAGTCTGAATTCTGAATACAAAAAAAAATCATTTTCAGAAGAGCTAATGACAAGAAACTAAAAGTTTATTAAATATCACTTTTATCACATAGAACTGGTGTAATTTTTCAACTTTTTATTGAGCTATCACTGTCAACAATTTTCATATTTTCTAACACATTTTTGTTTTCTTAACACTTTAACAGATTTCCAAAAACAATTTTTTTTTGCACTGAGAAAAGCCTTTTTATACTTGCATATGCTAGTTTACTTCTTTCTTTGGTGGATTTTAAACATAATAATTTACATGCACTCAGGTATCAACCTTGTACCCTCCTTCCATCTTTCATGATGGTCCTACTTATTTTTATAAAATACATTACTGAGTATGGCAATACTGTGTTGCCTGAAACTGATTAATGGCTTTTATTTGCCAAAATATTCCTCAGCTCATTAGGCTGTTTGTGACCTAGCTGTGGCCTATGGTTACAGACTTACTTCTTTCCACTACTTCCCTAGCATGGAGTTGTATGACGCTACAGGTTCCCAGCCTCCTTTCACAGAATCATATTTAAAAACTACCAACACTATCTTTTATACCATCAATTCTTACCTTCAATTCTTTGTCCAGACTCTGTACACTGAGAAGGATTTAATGCCCAGTGTAGTTGACGCTGAAATTCAGCTCGGTCTTCTGTATGGATAAGTTCATAAACACTCTGATGTATGACATCGGACTAAAGAAAAAAGATACAAGGAATACAACAAAAGTACTGATTAAAAAATATGGGTTACTAAAGTAATTTTGAAGCCTATTTAAATTAGTGGGTGCTTGCTAGTGGTGATGAATACGAATTGAACGATTCTTAAAGTTCCTTAATCACCTAAGATAGAAAAAGCTAGAGAGACTGGCACTACAACAGAGAAGCCAAAAACTACTTGTCATCACTTCCCAACATGAATGCTCTTGCTCAAATAAGTCACCTCCCCATTCCTTAAGTGCAGCATATTAAAATCTATTTATGTTTTGTATCCATTTGTTAATTTTTAGATTCTTATCACTTCCATGCATCTTTTCCTAACCACCCAGGCCTCTTTGACTTCTCTAAGCTTAGTGGTATTCTTTATATATTTGCTTCACTATTGACTAAAATGTTCTTCGTATAAAATTTTCACTCCAAGTAGACTCCACAAGAGTAAGGGATTGTGACTTTACCATATCAAACCCACTTTCCTCCTCTTGCCTCTCACCATTTACTACAGTGCTGAGTGAGTCCTTAGTGCTTAAACTAGAGTTTTCATAACTTTTTTTTAACTGCAAGTTATGATAAAAAATACATTTCCACCGGTCACAGGTGTATGCACATATACACATGGAAAAGATTACAAAACACTTACCATTATTATGAGAGATAATATTGTATATTCTGTATTATTTTATTCCATCCTATGCAACTAAAAAGCAGTTTGATGGTGATCCACTGTCTCGACTGCACATCCATGAGCAGTCACAACTTGGTTTTAAAAATGGTACCTTGATCTACCACTTGTGTCAGATATAAATGTTCTCTTAGGAAAAAAATCCATGTGCATATGTGAGAAAAAAATGGATTGGAAAGTGGCTAATCTCTTTGATTCTCTTAGTAATATAAATCACAATTTCAAATCATGATTCGATAGTTATATAATTTATTAGACTTCAAACAAGTTTTTCTATGGACATTAATATATTTTCTTTAGACTACAAGAAAACAAAAGTTTAGACTTTGTGGCAGTAGCTAGAGTACGCTACTTCAATTATCTACACTTAAATCTCCTTAGGAACCTAATCTTCTAGTATTAAATCATCTCAATGCCACCCATTACACAATTTCTAGAAGCTGCATCTGAAATAATGCAGTTGAACTATTGAATCAACTGCATTCAATAATTGTATTGAATGCAATGATTCAAACAAGTTGAATCATACACATCCCCTTTAACAAAAACCTTCAATGGTTTCCACTGGGTATATAATATGGTCAAAGCTCTAGTCTATATAACTGTTATTAAGACCAGCAGCCTTGTGAGCTTGATAGAAATGCAAATTCATGCTCCCCACTGTGAATTACTGATTCAGAATACCTGGCAATGGGACTCAGAGATATGACCAAGTTTTATCAAGGTCTTCCGGTGATGCTTGTGCACATTACAATTTGAGAACCAGATACATGAGTATAGCAAGCATTCAAATGTACTTACAGTCTGTTCTCAAACCATAAAAGATGTTCTTGTCTTTCAAATAAGTCAAATATTTATAATTCCATCTATTCACCATTCATTCAATAACATTAAACAAGCCAGAGATGTTTGTTTCCTTCAACAACTTCCAGCCTAATGCTTACAGTGCTTCTATAGTCCTACGTTCCCTTGTCCGCCCACCTGGTACACAATATTTAGGTCAGCTTATATATCATTTGCTTTAGGATAACTTCCATAATCCACACAAATCAGAATTAAAGGTATAAACCAGAGGATTTTACTTGTACTTTTTGTAAAACACCTCATTCGTTTCATAGTTGTCATAAATACTCTGCTATCCATAAGTTATTGATGGCAAATAATTTGGTATCTTCTCCCCTAGACCCTATGTGCCTGAAAATTTCTTATATATGAGATTCTTGATAAGCAAAAGGAACACAACCATGAATCACATAAAGGTTAAACGAAATTATAGTGCAGTAATTTATTACTAGAAAAAATGATTAGCTACAAATACTTATTCTACGGAATATATTGATACTTTATACATACAAATGGTCAACTGTGTCCTAAAGTATAATGTGTATGAAAAGTAAATAATATAAATGATATAAATAGTGTGTACTTACCTGCTGAAACCCTAAATAATCCTGTATAGTAGAGGAGGCATAAAAGACCAAAGCATCTGTAGTGACAACTAATACAAAGCCATTCAGAGCCTACAAGGAAAGGAAGTTTTAAAATTAGCATTTTGACTTAATATGGACTATCAGATAAAGGTTATTGCTTTTATCTCTGAAAAATCTTCTCTTCAAAATAGTTACAATTATTACATTTCACAAACACAGCCATAACATATACTCCTGGACTAAGAAATGCCTATTCATACCTTTTGATTTGTCTAAGGAAAAACAGCTAAATTTAATGTTCAACCAGAGTAACTTTGGTAGAATATAGACTTAATCTTCTTCCCCGTGTTTCGGATTTTCTTTTATATATATTGCACATTAAAAAAAAACAAAAAAACTATGTAGACATCATTCACTATAGTCTATCACAATGCTTTCTGTATAGGGAGACAGGAGGCAAAGATGTTGATTAGATCCTTAAAGTAGGAACTCTAATAGAAACTTTTCTTGTACAAAGACATTTCAAGCACCGATGCTAACATTTTAAGTCATAGAACATTTTAAGACTTTTATAGGAAAACATAATACATATATAATATAGATGTAACTAAAATATAATACATACGTAAAGTATATAGCAAATTTAGTTCACTAAAATTTCATGTCATTATGAACACATATTTAAATTTATCATTTTACATGTATTATTCCTATTTGTTCACTGCACATCCGTATGTATGTTTCTTTTTCTCTCTGTTTTGCCTGCTTGGGTCCATTATTTATTAGCCCATGTTCTTTAGTTCGGAAGTTATACTCTCTATTACTGGATAATTCAAGTCCAATATCAACTAATACCTTTATTCTCCTCTTGGATAACAAAAGTATCACAGATCACTTAATATTATAATGTATTTTAATTCTACAAGCCCTCACCATTATCTGCTTGAGTTCAATTTTGTACTTGACGTATTCTTTACTATGTTACAGCTAATGTCTCCTGACACCCTCTTTTTCATGTAAAGAGAAACATACTATGGTTTAGTGTAAGAATCATATTGTGTAGAGTCAGACAGATTTTGTCTGGGACTCCTGTCTCTGTTTATTCCTAGCTGTGTGACTTTGATTAAGGCATTTACCCCTTTTTAGACTTTAGTGTTATTCCAAAAACTGGCACTTCATCAGGTAGATATAATGACGATATACCTAACTCAATGCTTGGCACAGAGCTGGCACTCAATGCAATAAGGTACAATGCTATATGGCTGTAGAAATGTGCAAATAAAGATTTATATCGCCATGCTTTAAGAACTATAAAGCGTTATTTAAATAATAGTGATTCATTTACTCCATACCTAATAAAATATTACATACCCAAGAGGAGATACGTATGCTAAGTAATGGGATTTAAGAGTTAACAAGACTTTGCCTTTGTGCTTATGATGGTCACATAGTCTAGTCGATATCCTCATTATCAGATGAAATAAATGAAATACAGGGACTGTCTTTCCTTTCACTCCAATTACTTTCCACCTTCAAGATTCTTGATCTATATTATACTTCTGACAACTTGGCTACAAAGATAACACCTATTATTTAGTATTCCTTTTTCTACATTTTTATCTATTCAAGTGGTTTATTTCTCCCAAATACCCAATGAGATAAGTGCCACATTCCAATTTACAACAGAAGAAACTGAGGTCAAGGACTATACCTTTAAAAACAATTTGCCCAAGGTCACATACCCAGAAAAAAGCTGATCCAAGAGGTAAATTCAGTCTGGCTCCAAAGCCTACTCACTTAAATATCATGATATGCTGCCTTTATTAATCCCAAACTGGTGCATGGTTCTGACTGTTTTGTTTTTTACTTTTAAGTTTACCAGTACAAGTGCGGGTTTGTTACATGGGTAAACTTGTGTCATGAGGGTTTGTTGTACAGTTTATTTCATCATGCAGGTATTATGCCTAGTACCCATTAGTTATTTTTCCTGATCCTCTCCTCTCTCCCTCCTCCCACTCTGCAGCCTCTAAAAGGCCCCAGTGTGTGTTGCTCCCCTCTATGTGTCCATGTGTTCTCATTATTTAGCTCTCACTTAAAAGAAAGAACATGCAGTATTTGGTTTTCTGTTCCTGTGTTAGCTTGCTAAGGATAATGGCCTCAGGCTACATCCATGTCCCTTTAACCACAAGTAGGCTCTCAGGTTTTTGACTGCAGGTATTATTTATATGTAATACCTGGTAATTCCCCTAGGATAAAAGAATGGTGATTCTACCCAAAAGAACTTGAATATTTAGTGATTAACACACTCAAAATTGAATATTCTTAAATTCTCTTGGCAGTAACAGTATATATCCATCGTTGCACTGTTTCATCTTGAAAATGCCTGTTTCTAGGGAAGATTATTCATTGATCACATTCATATTATTTTGTAGAACAACATACTTTTTCAAACAGTGAAACAAATTGAGTCACATTCCAATAAACTCATTGGTATACATGCCAAAAGACAGAAGGATAGTTTAGGGTATAGTCAATAAATCCCTAGAGACAAATCTTAATTGTCAAAAATAAAAATCTAGAAAGGGTAGATGCATATCAATTTTTATATATCTCAAATGATCTCAAGTACCAGGAGGACCAAGGTTATTACTTGTATTGATTTATCCCAATAAATTAACAGAAGGAATATGCTAATTACAGAATAAAAGAGATCATCATTCTCTTAGTCTTAGTCACACAGATATACCCAACCTATCTGAAAATTATGTTGAGTTCACTTATTAAGAGAAATAAACTGCAATTAATACTGTTATATAAAATTTCAACTGCTGTTCTGAAAAACAAAGCTGCAAGAGTTTAATAAGAACAGTATTAAATAGCAAGAGATAGAATTTATTTTAAACAAATGAAATAAACATATGAAGTAATTATAAAGACACAGAAAGTTATTTGCATTCATTTTTATTCCTTGTAAAATAGTGATAAATTAAGGCTAACCTAGAAAGATATCTTAAATTTTTATTAACAAAATTTTTTGCAACACTTTCTTTATATGCCTTTGTTAACCAAAGGAAAATATTTCTCCTCAAAAGTTTTAGGCCATATGGTATACAGAATCTCTGGTAACATCTTCCACACTGTAGTGGTAATTGGCTGATAACTGCAGGTTGCAATATAAAGTCAGATGTCATTATGCAAGTGCATATAATGAAGCAGCCATTTTCACATGTCTATAATGTTTTCAGTCATCTTCTTCATAAAAAGATAACATATAAGCACAATCCTAAGAAAATAATACAGTATGTGAGTCTTTCTATTAGAGAGCAATCTACATATGGTATTCAAGGTAAACAGTTAAGTTTATTTTAACTTCTCAAGGGTTACCAATTTGCAGATTATATATATATATATGTAGGTAGGTAGATAGACAGATAGATTCCATATAATTATAGCTTTACGGCTTTGCATTACTATTATTCTGTTTCTTTCACATAGGGTATGTACACAATTTATCTAAATGTTGTGAGAAAAAATAAAAATTACTGGCCCATAATTTAAACCAACTTTCCAAGTGTTATGTCAATCAGTCCTTATTTGGCTATTTCTCCTGAAATACAGGATTTCATTATCCCCTTAGTAGATAACCCAAGATGTGTGTTTAATCATCTTAAGCAGCAATTATTAGAATGCTTTCCTAAGACCGAATAAGGAGATTTTATGTTTTGGTTAATATACACATGAAGATCCTTAGCTGGGGCTGGAAGAGGACTCATGCTTTAATATACTGACTTTGTTGAACATAAGTTAATTTTTGCTAACAGGAATTTGAATGTGATTACACAATTGTAATTAAAAATGCTATATTATTAGGCATATCACCATTCACTGAATGAGCTCGTGGAGTTACCAAAACTTATGGTTACTTTTTGTAACGATGGTGAACTAAGTTTGTCTAGTTAGTTCAGTGGATAAAACTGAAAATAATCACATAGTGGTGATAGCACATATCGCACACATCTTTATTCTATCTTTTTTCAACAAAATAACTATATGAGAATTTTAAGTGAGAATCAATCATAGCATCAATTCTAAAAAAAAGAAAAAAGTTAAAAAAAAGATTCGAAATGCTTTCATAGACAAATTAGAAACTCTAAATTCTGAAGTGTAAAAATAGGGATTAGAGTTGTTGAGAAAATCTATGGCATGTTAATAAGTCACAAACAGTTGCTAAAATAAAATGTAAGTTAAAACATATTGCAAAAATAAAATTCAGGTTAAGAACTATTTTAAACTATTTAAAAAATGCATTTAACAATTTTAATAGAGATACATTGCATAAAAGGTATATATAAATTCAACACCTTAAATTAGTACCTTTGAAATACTCTAGGGAGTTCTTGCTGTCTGAAGAAATATTAATACAATAAGAAGGGTTGACTAGTCTTCTAACTAACCTACTTCATAAACAGTCATGTGTTACTTAACAGGAACACATTCAAAGACATACATGGTTAAGTGACTTTCATCATCAACATCATTGAGTGTACTTACACAAACCTAGATCGTACAGTCTTCTATACACTTATGCTATATGTTATAAATTATTGCTTCAAGGCTACAAACCTATACAGCAAGTTATTACACTGAATACTGTAGGCAATTTTAACACATGGTAAGTATTTTTGTATCTAAACACATCTAAACATAGAAAAGTGACAGTAAAAAATATGGTATTATAATCTTATGGGATCACGGTCATATATGTGGTCTGCTGTTAACTGAAACATCATTATGTGGTGCGTGACTATAATTCCATTTTTTTAAATGTACTAAGCATTGTTCATTAGGGCAGTTCAGGTGAAAGTGACAGGAAACATTGAGTGAATCCTAAATAAACTGGGAATTATTAAAAGACTTATTAATCCGTTTTCCATTTATACTTGTCTTTAGTGTAAGAAATTATATTTACTAAAATTTACCTGTAATAAGAATTCTCCTTCTCGTAAGTTCAGGCCTTCTCTGAAATTTGCTGTTCTACAGTTATCCTGGCCTTCATTTCTTTCAGCTGGGGAGGATTTTAATGCAACTATGGAAAAAAAGGGAAAAACAATGATGAAGATGGATTTTAAAAGTAAGCAAGAGTAAAGAGCTATAACAGAAAACTTCTGAACACTAAACAAAGACAATTTGAAATACTGGCATCTAGTGGTACTTTTAGTAATCGAGTAATACTAGGCAAATAATAAATACTAGCTAAGTAGTCCTGTTGCCAGGGGGTAGCTCCTTCTTCTATGCTATAACAAAACTAAAGGATTTAGTCTAGTCAGCTGACAGATTGTTAAAAATAATTTTTGATGAGTTCAGTATATGACTTTTGTCACAAACTTAAGAGTTTCAAAGAACTGCACAACACTGCTATAAACACTCCCCTCCATTTCTCTACCATGTAACTATAAAAATGATTTCAGTATTTATGTATATTTATCTAAATATCAGGAAACTGGTGGTGGTGAGGAGAAAAAAAGCAACTACGCGCTTTATTGAGAGATGTATTTCTGATGTTTGGAATCTTCTCACCCAGCTTTTGGGTTAAAAACTGTTAATTAATGTTATTATTCAGTAGGTTAACATTAAATTTATAAATTAACTGACGGAGAATTAACATCTTCATATTGCTGAATCATTCTATCCAAGAATATACATGTTTTTCCATTTGTTCAAGTCTATATTGTGTCCAGCTAGAATGTTTTAAAGTTGTCTACAAAAAGATGTGCACAAACATTTTTATATTTACTCCTAGGTATTACATCTTGCCATGCGGCTTCTCCATTATAGCTTCTAACTGCTTATGTGGATTACATAAGTTAAGGAAAATCTGATGGCATAATGGAATGCTTACTATTGGAGGTAGCATGTTATAATGCTACCTCTTCTCGTTTTTTTCTCACTGTGTGTGTGTGTCTGTGTGTGTGTGTGTGAGTGTGTGTGTATTTATAGGCTGAGAGGAAGCACAGCTGAATAGAAATAATAATAGCTACCACTTACTTAAGCATTTTGCCAAGCACTTTAAAATATTATATTACTTAAAAGTATGTGGATATTGGCAACTGATAGAATTGGGTTCAAATCTTACCTCTGACATTTAATAAAAGTGTGAGTTCTTTCAGCCTGTCTCCTAGTATGGAGGTGGTAATTGAAAAACAATTTTTTTTAAGCCTATCTTGCAGGGCTGTTGTGAAGAGTGATGAGAATATATGTAAAGTTTCTGACACAAAGCAGATCAATAGCAGTTCAACAAACAGTAGCTTTAATTACTAGAAATATTTCCCAGAGCTTATGGATTACCTGGGTATAAAGTATAATCTTTAAGATACTTTCCATTTTCTGGCCTTTTTTTAACCTGTGATATTTGAATAAGAGAAACCATTAAATAAAACTGACTCTGGCAGTCCTCTTAAAACTTACTTGGCTATATTTTTATGTGCCAAAATAATCCAGCTCAGTGAAAAAACTGGAGATTTACTAATAACTAGACTTTCTCTCAGTTTGAGCAGAGTACCACATATAAAACCATCTGCAGTCTTTCATGTTTGCAAGTGTATTTTCTGATAAATCATTAGTGAATGTGTCACACCAGAATCTCATGCCAAGTTCTTGCCTTTGCAGAACTTAAAACATACCTCTTTGCAAGAAACAGCCAAAAGCACGGTCTCTGAATATAACAACTTCAAAAGGCCAGAGAACAGATTTCCTTAGGCCAAAAAACAGTTTTTGAGGTAAACTGACCTAACAGTTCATCAAGACCAAAGGAAACGTTTAATCTGTATAGACAGAATGATAGAGGAGAGAATGGTGCTTTCTCCCTTTCTATTCTGTAAGTTATGTTGTTACTTGCTTACTAATGGCCACATTTGCTTGAATGCACTGAAACCATACAATGTCAGAGTCAACTATATTCTGTTACTGTTCTAAAAGCTCTGATATGAAGCACAATTTAAGAGTTACACCAAACATCAGTAAAACTTGCTTCTAAAAAGAAAACAACAAAACCAAACCCTTAAATATGAAATCAGCCTAAAAATGAACAATAACAGTGTCAGATTGTCAGATCTTAAATATCTAAATTATCATGGGGAATCTCTTATAATTAATATTTAATCAATACAATTGGTATTAGTTCCACCTAGATTCACTGGCAGTAGAAAAACATGGAAAAATATTAAGAGATAACTACTTGATCACTGAGAAGACGACTATGCAATGCAAGAAACCATTCATCTCAGAGTAATCTATAATTTGTTCTTGGGCTTATACTGGGGGTATTAGCCAATGTAATTAGACAATAGAGTCAGACCCTGTCTTTAAGTAGGGCATATAAGCTATGGAAATAAAGAACTAGAAAACAATGTCAAAAAATACTAAGTACCAGAACAGGGTTTAATTAAAGTATTAGAAGAACTGGAAGTAGAGAAAAAAATAAAAAGAACAAATACTTTCTAAACAATGCTTATAACTATAAATGTTGGAAGGATGATATTTAACATGTATAACTACTGCTTAAGTAGGAAAAGTAACAAGTTAATTTGGGGAATGATCACTGGAGGTTTCTGCCAAAAACAAATACGCAAATATTTCTATTGCTTTTGTGTTTAAGGTTAATCATTGATAAATAATTTAAGTAAATACTGTGCAAAGATGAGTCTGAGAAAGGTGGAATTTAACATCATTTAAAAAACACTGCTGTGCCTTTTTAAGAAACTCGTTTTATGTCATGACCTCTCAGCCTAAACTATGTAATTTCTAATGCTGCATGAAGTTTTTCTTCTATTTCTTGCTATCGTGTCTACTACCTCTGTTAATATTACTGGAAACTCTATCAATTACTACTACTCACTTTCGTGTATATGCTGCTTGCCCTGATTAGAAAGAAAGCAATGGGTAAGAAAGTGACATGAGACACTGTCACAAGAGCTGCTTCCTACCATCCAAGTGACCTTAGTAATCATGTGATATTGGGCACACACTGTATAACTAGCACTTTCCACGTATTATATCCTATTTAATCTTCACAATAGTTTTACAAGACTGACATTGTTCTTTCAATATATTAGGAAACTGAGACTTAGGGTGGTTGAGAAAATGTTCCCAGGGTCATAGAAATTAAAGTGGTAGAGCTTAGGCAAAAACTCAGGTAGCCGGACCTCAGGGTGTGAGCTGTTATTAACCACCATCCACTACGCTATATCTGTACACCTTTGACCTTTAGTTTCCTCACCTTTAAATGAGGACAATGCTACCTCTTGAGACAAATTTTCGTGAGAATTAAAATAACATGCAGAATACCTGGTTAATGCCTGGAATCAATCACTGACAATCAAGCACAGAAGTAACAAAGTCTATGCTGAGTTTATATACCCTCAAACCATGAGGAGAAACTTACAATTAAAGTGCCCTGAGTGGGTAAGTGAGTATTTTATCATCTTTAATTTGAGGGCAGTAATGAGTATTTAATAGAACTACTATAATGCCTATATGACATATTTGAAATTATATCTGATCCTTGAACAACATAGGTTTGAACTACGCACGTCAACTTACATGCCTCTGCAACTCCCAAGACAGCAAGACCAACACCTCCTCAGCCTACTCTAAGATGAAGACAGTGAGGATGAAGACCTGTATGATGATCTGTGTCACTTAATGAATAGTAAATATTTTTTGTCTTCCTTATGATTTTCTTAATAACATTTTCTTTTCTCTAGTCTACTTTATAGTTAGAATACAGTATATGATACATACACAAAATACACATTAATTGGCTGTTTATGTTATTATTGTGCTATTCAAGGGTCAACTATACTTCAAAACTATAAACCGTTACATAAATTATAGGCATAATGACACTTTAAACATTACACCACTGGAATTAAATTTATCACAGTCCACAGAAACAAAATGTAATATCTGTAAATAAATAAGATGGGAAGCATCTGCTATACCATAATGGACATTTGTTAAAATCTTCCCTGTCGGTGGGGATATTCTCACACTTTCCAAAGTGTGACAATCAGACTCTGAACATTCAGTAAAATGTTAAGATAGTAAACTACCAAAATATTTCAGCTATTTCCTCATTGAAAGATCTATGAAGCAGTCATATAATACAAGTAAGAATTTAACAAATTATGAATTTAGAATGCAAATATATCACAGCAATATCAAATAGTCATACTGCAGATGACTCAAGTTTTATTCCCACATGCATTTAACCATATCCATGTTTCATAATATGGTATTTTCCTTCCTTATACATGTAACTTCAGATTTCCAGTTCTCCCTAAAAGCAAATCTCTTCACATCACATGCTTTGAATTGGCCAAGGGAAAAAAAATTCATGAGGGATACTGAATAGTGGTAAACTATATTTTATATTTGTTACTATAGTTTGCATTTAAACAGAAAAATGACATAATAAAAATCTTGCCAGGGAAAAGCATATCCCTCTTTAGTTCCTAATTGTTGCTATAAATTCAATTTGTTTCATAATATTTACCATCCCCTTTACTGCTTTGGCAGGGAAAATTCAATTCCATTCCCATATTGACATAAAGGACAGTAAAGCTATGACTTATAAAATTCAACCAACCACATAAACTTTTATAAATTAGAAAGGGTTAAGTAATGAGGTATTTCTTAAATTTAAGAAAAACATTCCCAGTTTAGTCTGTTATGATGGGTATTTCCAAATAATATATTAGTGTACATAAAAGGAGCTTCTTCTACATACCTACTGGTAAAACATACATGTTTCACTCCAAAACAGTATTTGCTTTTGTAAAAGAAATGTTCTTTTAAGGGAAGGAGGGAAACAACTAAAGAAACCTATGTTATATTCTAAATTCCTAGGAAACAGAGATTAGGTCTACATAGTCCAGTACCTTCTAATGATATTGACAGACTACTGTTTTTCTACCTACAAATTTCTAATAACCATGGTAGAATGAAAGAATATTCAGTTTTTTTTTAATCTAAATATTATATATTTATGATTGTAGGCTGAGAAACTAGTGTAACTATCTTTTTAGC